TTTTTTTTTTTTGAGGAAGATTAGCCCTGAGCTAACTGCTGCCAATCCTCCTCTTTTTGCTGAGGAAGACTGGCCCTGAGCTAACATCCATTCCCATCTTCCTCCACTTTATATGTGGGATGCCTACCACAGCATGGCTTGCCAAGCGGTGCCACATCTGCACCCAGGATCCTAACCGGCGAACCCCGGGCCGCCGAAGTGGAACTTATGCACTTAACCGCTGCGCCACTGGACCAGCCCCTGAGAACAATATTTGAATGGGCAAAGTTTCATGCCTTTTGACTGTTTCATTATCAGAGGAATGCCTTGGTTGTACAATATTCTCATCCCTGGTGGGAAATTGGGTCTTCTCAGAATTTTTCTATCTCCGTTATAGTCCCATAGCCCCACTGAGAATGAAGATATTCAATAAATACCCAGTGGCAGTGTCTTTGACCTAAGATACGCAAGAAATGCAAGGCTTTGATACAAGGACTCTTAATCAACTCATTTCCCTACAGCTAAGGGCAGCTATTAGCATTATTGTTATTACTAAGAAAAATGCAGACTGATTCATTCATCCAAGAAATTCTTGACTACCAAATATGTATGTGGCACTGTGGGATGTTACATAGCCCAGTAGAAGTAAGATATCATTTTTTAAAAATTAATACAAAATAGGAAGTGATGATTCAAATAAGAGAGGTTTGTTTAACTGGCCTGTAAATTACCATACAGTATTTACAGTTTTCAGAGCATTCTGATGGGTAAAATTTTATTTGATATTCACAACCACCAAATTAGGCTAGACTTTACTACATTCCTCAGTTTTACAAATACAGGAAAGTAAGTATATTGACACTGACATTGTACAAGTTCTATTTGTATGCTTTTCATTTATCTAGCTTTTTATAATCAGAGGAGTGTGAGAAGAATCATAAAAGTTTGCTCTGCTTAGCCTGGATAGAATCCCCATTGGATTTGAGACAAAACTGAGAGAGGCGTACATCTTCGTAATATAAATGCACAAGGAAAAGAGATGGTGTTAGAACCTTGTCTGATTTCTTCTTTGTCTCTAGCTGTTAGGGTAGTTACTACATATATCTGGCTTTAATGTTTGCCCTTAATGAGACCTGCATAAAAGTATGAGACAACTGGTATGTACCTCTTGATAAGCACCGGTACAGAGTTCAGTCCCACAGATGACAGTTTTATGATTTGTGTGTTGTAAATATGACATAGGAGTTAAATATTTTGTTTTAAAGATGGTTTTTTTAAGTCGGTTAGGTAGTATTTTCTGGTAAATTGATTCACAGCTGTTTTAAAACTGTTTTGTTTCCTTCAGATCTATAAACTGTAGGCATTAGCCTATAATGAAACATTAGGCCAGTAAAGAAAAACACCGGTCATACCTTTCATTTACATTTTTGAAGAGGATACAAACATGTCGAAAGGCAACTATAAAAGCCTTTAAAAAATATTAGCAAATTGGGGGCCAGCCCTGTGGTCGAGTGGTTAAGTTCGTGCGCTCTGCTTTGGCAGCCCAGGGTTTCACTGGTTTGGATCCTGGACACGGACATGGCACTGCTCGTCAGGGTCAGGCCATGCTGAGGTGGCATCCCACATGCCACAACTAGAAAGACTCACAACTAAAGTATACAACTATGAACTGGGGGGATTTGGGGAGAAAAAGCAGAAAAGAAAAAGAAAGATTGGCAACAGTTGTTAGCTCAGGTGCCAATGTTTTAAAAAAAAATTAGCAAATTGAATCTAGCAATATATTAAAAAAAGGAAATAGAGCATGACCACGTACATGGGAATGTACTGTTGGTTCAACTTTGGAAAACCAATCAATATAACTCGCCATATTAACAGAATAAATAAGAAAAACCATATGACCATCTCCATAGATGCAGAAAAACCATTTGAAAAAATTCAAATCCATGTATAATAAAAAAGTAGAAGTAGAAAGGAATTTCCTCAACCTGAAAAAGATTATCTACAAAAAACCTACTGCTAACATCATACTTAATAGAGAAAGACTGAATGCGTTCCCCCTAAATTAGGAATAAGACAAGAATATCTGCTTTCACCACTCCTATTCAACATTGTTCTGGAGGTTCTAGCTAGTGCAGTAAGGCAAGAAAAAGAAATAAAACTGTCTATATTCACATAAGATACAGTTTTCTTTGATGACAGAGAAAATCCCAAAGAAGTTACAAAAGAAGCTACTAAAACTAATAAATGAGTTTAGCAAGATCACACAATATACAAAAATCAAACAACCTTCTTCATATTTAGAGGTTTCTATACCATGGTTTCACTATATTGTTAATGATTATTTTGTATAATTTCTACAAACAAATATGCTGGATGACTTTCAATCTTATTCAAACAAAGCGCTTTCCTTGAAAAAGATAAACTATCAAAATAAAAAAAATGCTATTTATAATAGCATCGAAAAAAACATGAAAACTTAGGTATAGATATGTATGCTAAAATCTATAAAACACTGATGAAAGAAATCAATGAAGACCTAAGTAACTGGAGAAGACTCAATATTGTTAAGATGTCAATTCTGCCTAAATTAATTTAGACATTCAAAGCAGTCCCAATCAAACTGCCACCTTGAGATTTATTAGAAATTGACAAACTGACTCTAAAGTTTATGTGGAAAAGCAAAGGAACTGGACTAGCCGAAACAATTTTGAAAAAGTTGGAAGAGTCATGCTATCTGATTTCAAGATTACTATAAAGCACTGGTTCTCAACTGGGGAAAATGTTGCCCCCTCCAGGAGACATCGTCTGGAGACAGTTTTTATTATCACAGTTATTGGGAGAGGGATAGTTGCTACTTTGATGCTGGCATCAAGTAGGTTGCTGCTCACCATTGTTTAATGCTCAGGAAAGCCCCTAGAACAAAGAGTTATCTGGTCCAAAATAGCACTGGTGTCACTGTGGAGAAACCCTCTATAAAACTACATTAGTAATCAAGACAGTGTAGTTTTGGCACAACAATAGACACATATATCAGTAGAACAAAATAGAGAAGCTGAAAATAGACCCACACACATATGGTCAATTGATTTTTGACGAAAGTTCAAAGGCAGCTCAATGAGGAAGTCTTTCATCAAATGGTGTTAAAACAATTGGACATACATATGGAATACTTTGGCCCACACTTTACACTATATTAAAAAATAACTCAATGGATTATGGACTTAAATGTAAAATGTAAAACTATAAAACTTCTAAAATAAAACGTAGAAAATCTTGTGAACTTGGTTAAATAAAGATTTCTTAGGTATATAAAGCACAGTCCAAAAAATAAAAAATTGATAAATTGAACTTGATCAAAATTAAAAACTTCTGCTCTTCAAAAGACACTCTTAAGAAAATCCAGGGGCCAGCCCAGTGCCATGGTGGTTAAGTTTGTGCGCTCTGCTTCAGCGGGCCAGGGTTCATGGTTTTGGATCCTGGGAGCAGACCTATACGCCACTCATCAAGCCATGCTGTGGTGGTGTCCCACAAACAAAATAGAGGATTGCCATAGATGTTAGCTCAGGGACAATCTTCCTCAAGCAAAAAGTGGAAAATTGGCAATGGATATTAGTTCAGGACCAATCTTCCTCACCAAAAATAAATAAATAAGGGTTTGTATTGATAGGTACTGTATTATTAAAAGAAATAGGGTTTGCATTGATCGGTACACTATTAAAAAAAATCCAGAGACAAGCTATAGATTGGGAGAAAATTACAAATCACATCTCTGATAAAGGACTTTTATGCAATATATATAAAGAACTCTAAAAATCTAATAAGAAAATAACCAAGTAGAAAAATGAGCAAAAGATTCGAATAGACACTTCATTAAAGCCATACAGATGACAAGCAGATGAAAATTTAATCCACATCATTAATGAATCATCCTAAATGGGCTTAAACAATAAAGGTTGAGTAAATTGATGCCCATGGGGAAAGTCCATAGAGAGATTGACATCAATCACCCTGAATGTTTAACAAAGTTATCAAAGATAAAGTTGCAGGGCTGGCCCAGTGGTGTACTGGTTAAGTTTGTATGCTCTGCTTCGGCAGCCCAGGGTTTGTGGGTTTGGATCCTGGGCATGGACCTACACATTGCATGGTCAAACCATGCTGTGGCAGCATCCCACATACAAAATAGAGGAAGATTGGCACAGCTATTAGCTTAGGGCCAATCTTCCTCACCCAAAACAAAGAAGATACAGTTGCTTTAGGAAGGAGGGGGAGCTCTCCACTCTGTTCCTAAGGCAGACCAGCCCCTTCCATGGTCATGAGATGGATGCCAGCCCCAGGCAAGCTGCGTGCTGCCTCTCTTATGTCCAATCTGGTGAGAGCACGTCTGTCCCAGCATTCTAAGCTGGGGTCCTAAAATTCACCCTGATTGGCCTGTTTAAGTCACATATCCACCCATAATGAAGCATGACTGTGGCCAGGAAACAGATTTATGCTGATTAGTTTAAATCTGAGCCACATGCCCCAACTCAAGTCATGAATTGTGTTAAATTCCTCCAAAGTTCAAGGACCTTAATGGAGGGAGGGTGACTACTCAGACTTCAGTAGGTAGAAATTTTCCAAGGAAGGAGAAAGGATGTTGGTGAGGCAGGCACATTAGTAACTCTCCATGTCTCAGTATTGTCATTGTTCCTCAGAGGGAAAAAAATTTCTAAATTATAGAAAGAGAACTAAGAAGAAAAATGTAGAGCCTGTGTGAAGCTATGGATGTCAGTTTTTTCCATGCAATTAACTATTACACAGTGCCCTGATGTAACCCTTCATTTCTGCTTGTAAGCGTGATTGAAAATGACTCCTAAGAAAGAACATAGCGATGAGTTGTTACAAGTGTGGGAGTTAGTGTTTAAAAATATTACATATTTGGAGATTTTCCTCCTAGCTGTCTTAACCAGTTCTGAATTCTTTAAGGAGTACAATGTCTTACTCCCTGTAACACTCTTTTCTGGCCGATGGTCTTCCTTGATCAGGAGGTGCTCATGGAGCTCCTAGAGCAGTGTGCAGATGGACTCTGGAAGGCTGAACGCTACGAGCTGATCGCTGACATCTATAAACTCATCATCCCCATTTACGAGAAGAGAAGAGATTTCGAGGTATCTGAGCGGGTTTGTTTTTTCCTGTTTGAGAGGACACTGGAGTGGCACATATCCCCAGACCTTCCTACATGCAAAGAGCAAGCAAGCCACTGTCAGAGATGAGCAAGTGGTCTCTGACCCTCCACATGGTTCCTCTAGTCACCACCCTCAGAGCCACCAGGCCTTACACACACAGACCCCACCTCTCCACAGACCCTGAATCTTGAACAGCAAGGGTTGGCAATTCTGTCACTTCACTTTTGAAAGGTTGCCAGGAACAGAGTTTTATAATCACCAGGTGCCTTTTTGCTCAGAACTCTTCCCTGTTGCACCTGCATGGAAAAATGGTAACCCTTCCCTCCTTCCTGGGAAGGAAGGTTGTCTTTTCTCTTAGCATAGCAAATGAAGTAGGAAAAGCAAGGGTGAAAAATGTTGGCATCGGACTGGACCATCTCCAACATTTCAAGCTAACTTGAAAACAGAATTTGCTTACTGCAGTATGGAAATCTGATGGGTCCTCAATACGCAAGATGGCCCTTTGGGTAGGAAACATTACAATTCAGAAGTGATCTCTACCAGTTGTACAGACAAAATACATTCTTGATCTTTTCTTTTTTTTAACTCAAGTCCAAGGAATTTTCACCTACATTATCTCATTTAATTGTTATTTTGAAATTGATTCTACTAGTTGCAAGTGGGAGGAAATGGGTTTTGTTCTGTTTTCAGAGGCTGGCTCATCTCTATGACACCCTACACCGGGCCTACAGCAAAGTGACCGAGGTCATGCACTCGGGCCGCAGGCTCTTGGGGACGTACTTCCGAGTGGCCTTCTTCGGACAGGTGAGTCTCCTCTCCATCTGTAGGCTGTCCCAAGTCCTTTTTTTTTTTTTTTTAACTCTATAAAGTAGTATTTTGTAAATTTTCTGTTTTCTGTAAGTGCTAATTTGATGAATTTGTCATATTTAGTATGATTCTTATCTTCCTCAGTAGTAAACTTTCTGCTTTTTTTCTTTCTTCCTGTCTTTTCTTTATTACTTTCTTAAGGCAGCGGTAAGTTCTCCCTCCATAAGACGTTCTTAGCGACATCTTTGGTACTTCAGTGTGGTTTGCAAGTTTCCTTTTCAAGTCTGTATGTGTATCTGTCCAGTCATTACAAACTCCAAAAAAATTAACATTTTATTCCATTTACAGAAATAAATCACCTGTTTCCTTATACAACTGCACTGCATGTTTTAAACCAAAATTAAGACTTTCTGGTTTCCTTTGTCCTTATGCATCTCTATCTTTTGTAATATAATATCTCCCCAAGTTATATTTACCATTGTAATGTTCAGAAACCCTATACGAAAGGGTTCATTTAAATTTAACTGAAAGTTTAACCTCCAAGTCTCTAACATGATTAAATGGTATAAATTATAATCCATTTATTTAGGGTGTGGTTTTCTATGAGCATTATATAACCTTCAATTTATTCTGTTATTGTCTTTTATAACTTTATAGCAATACCAGTTTACAGACAGTGAAACAGATGTGGAGGTAATTACAGTAAATGCTTTAAAAAGCAAATAATATAGTGAAATTACTGCATCAAAACTCCTAGTTTGATGTGGGTGTTTTTTGTTTCATATTAGCCTGCATTTTTTTTATATACTGTGTTTTTTGCACCATTTTCTATCTTTTATTTTAGATGAGAAACATTTTTTTAAAAATTTATTTTAAATATTAACCTCAATCTGGACTTTTAAATTTTCAACCTTTTTCACTTCCCATGCACTTCGAAGCCTTGTTGTATTCAGATATGATTGGTGCTAAAACAGATGATGACTGGTAATAAGGAAAATGTTTTCTGATATGGTACTGCCACCTATTAATATTTTTCTCATCAGTAAAGCAAAATTTATTGCATGTAACCTTTGCCGAACCTACTCCAGACCTGAATGCTTCCATTTATGCTGTGACATCCTGTGTTTATGGGAGTGGTCAGGAGAAGGGATGTGTGTGCACTCTGAGGCCTGCCTATAGCAGGCTGCAGAATCATTTCCTAGTGAGTTCTGCTTCTTGGGAATGTGAAACAGGCTTGAAACCCATCATTAGACTTCACTGAAAGAACACAGTCTTGAATCCCCAATCTTTCATTTCACTCAACACGTAATGACAGCATTCTTGAATGAGTTTGCAGTTTTGTGTTCTTCCTTTATCTTTGCACTCAGACTTCACATTATTATCATTTTCCTTCCTATTCGGAAAGCTTGTTTAAGTAGGATTTTATTTTAGATCATTCCCTTTTTTTTGTTTTTAACCCTTATAACGAACAAATCCTTCCTGGGTGGTACGCCTTGGGCTTGTATTTGGGGGTATCTCTAACTGTGCCTTATGTCACAGGGATTCTTTGAAGATGAAGATGGAAAGGAGTATATTTACAAAGAGCCCAAACTCACGCCTCTGTCCGAAATCTCCCAGAGACTCCTTAAACTTTACTCAGATAAATTTGGTTCTGAAAATGTCAAAATGATACAAGACTCTGGCAAGGTAAGACCATGTTTGGAAATGTTTCAGAACAATATAATATTATTTTTATTGATTATACATGATGGATCATGTATGTTCATAAATGTGTGTAGATAAAAGACCCAAGAAAAAATTGGCCTTGAGCGGCAAGTGTGGGTTTTTTCTTCTTAATATGTTTCTGTGCTTTTCAGATGTCCATTAAGCAAATCTTTATTTCATAATTTTAAAAAGATTTTTTTTACAAAATAATTAATGTCTGAAAGGATGTACCATTTTTAGTACATATGTTTAGACACTCTGTAAGAGTAGGGTCCAACGTTCTGTTTCTCACTGCACTTTTCCCTGGTCTTGAGCACAGTGCCTGGCGCATTCCCTGATACTCTGACTGACTGATTGTTGGCAGTATGGACAGATGGACTGGCAAACGGACAGACCAAGGAATGAACTGACTAGCCAGCACACTTGTCAGAATGAGATCTACTTTCTATATAGAGAGGCTGTCCTCTGCTCTATTGCTCTCATGAAGACCCTTTCTGAACCTACACGTTTTTCCTGGATATTTATGTGTCTCACTGTCTACAGGACATCTCCAGGAAATTGAGTGGCCCTTTGTTTCCTGAAACTCAGGCCAAGATAGAGCTCCTGTTCTTTGCATTAAAAATGTTCCTCCTGTTCAGTTTCCAGCACTGATAAGCTCTACCTCTTTCTGTGTCCACCATTTTGGAGAATCCTTAGTTCATTTTCCATCCTGAGCCCTGCTTTGGAGTTCCCAGTGTCTGGAATCTGTTTCCTTGGGGCCCTTTGTTTTCTCTAGAGAAGAATCTTCCAATCTCCTGCTCAGGTGGTAGAGAGAGGACAGGGAAGGGGGTAATTCTGGATTCTGGATGCAGGAGACAAGTCTGCAGCCTTTCACCTATTCTCCTTGTGTTCTGTTCTGTACCTAACCCCTGCTTCCACCGAGACTGGCAAACCCACTTAGACATTTTCCAGACCAGTTTCTCCAAGGAACAATCTCTGCTTTCTGTGGGGCAGGGACTAAGGAAGGGAACCTGGGGTTCCACCACTCCAATAAACTTTGGGCCCCTTGCCCTGGTTTCTGCCCTACACCTCTGCCAGTCACCTTAATCCTTGTGCTGGTCTTCTATGGATATCAGTCCATTCAGGCTGCTGTAACAAATACCAAAGACAGGTGGCTTATAAACAACAGAAACTTATTTCTCTCACTTCTGGAGGCTGGGAAGTCCAAGATCAAGGCATCGGCAGATTTGGTGTGTGGTGAGGGCTCGATTCCTTGTTTCTAGACGGCCATGTCTACACTCTCCTCACATGGTGGAAGGGGTGAGAGAGCTCTGTATGGTCCCTTTTATTACGGCACTAACCCCGTCCATGAGGGCTCCACCCTCATGACCTGATCACCTCCCACTGCCTAATGCTATTACATTGGAGGTTAATATTTCAACATATGAATTTGTGGGGAACTCAGACATTCAGTGTACAGCAGCAGGCTTCTGAGGGGTGCACTGACTTGCTTGTTGTTACCCACTCCATGGGAACTTGGCTTAGAACTTCCTCCGTTCTTCCAAGTCAGGTAGTACACCTCCACGCACCTGCTGTCTTCTGTCCTCTTTTCTTGGTTCTTGCAGGTCAGTTCTTTACTATTACTTTAAGAGTCGCACAAAGGAAAAGGGATAAGAATACTTTAGTCCATTTTTAACCAGAAACCTCAGCACAATCTGTTTAAGACCTACTTTTTTTCCAGACCGAATTACTAAGGTCCACCTTCCTTTTTCTCTAAAACCAAAACCTTTGTCTGGGTCAAGCTGTGGCTTTAACATTACAGCCTTTTCTCAAGGTTCTCATATGTTCTTCTTCCCCTTTTCATATGTGGCCCCCGATGCAGCAGCAGCAGCAGCTGAAAGACCTTCTAGACTCTCTTCTCTTCCCCCAAACCCAGTCCTCCATTCGCTCTGCTGATACATACATAGAACTTTGAAAATGAAGACTGGGGAAAAAACCACTGAAAACTAGGCAAGAATGTTCATGTCCACTGCTTTTAAATTGTTTCTGCTAAAGAAAATTAATAGGTTGGATACAATTATAATGATTAGCCAGAGGGTTTTTCTAAATAGAAAAATAACTTATGACGTTATGTATTATCTTAACTTACAAAGTTTAAGGCACTTTCATTTTTCTTCATAACATCTCTGTTAAGAGATCAGTGGTGCGTCATTATTTGAGACCAGTAAAACCATTTTGGGTTCGTTGGTTGGCCTGCCCTGAGTCCAGTGCAATCTGCAAATTCTCTGCACAGTCATTACTTTCGTGTCCCCTTCTATTGCTCTGGAACTTTAGATAGAATTAGTATATACAAAATTGATTTGTCTCCCTAAAACTTTTGGTTTTGTATGGAAAATCCCTGTGTTTAGTTCTCTAACATGTAACAGAAGTTAGAGCACTACTAATCCTAGTTTTTAAAGCGTTTATGTGCTGAGTTATTCAGGAACTAAGCTTATGGTTAATTATTCTGTACCTGTATTAAATTTATCTACATCTGTTTATATCTAATCTAATCTATCTACAGATTAATTATAATTTGGGGACCTAGATTTTAACCATTATTATTAAAATAAACATTTTTCTCTCTAAGCCAATTATATAAAAGTGCAGCTTAGGAAACAATCAGAGAGATCCAGACGAGGAGTCGTTCTACAAGAAAACTAGCATGATGTCTTCAAAAAATTCAATTTCATGAAAAAAAATAGTGAGGAATTGTAGATTAAACAAGACTAAAGAGACATATCAGCTAATGTAAAATGTGATCACTGATTAGATTCTGTTTCAAACACAAATAACTATAAGTAACATTCTGGGGACATTTGAGAAATTTTAACATAGACTGGGTATTGGGTGATATTAGGGAATTAGTGTTAATTTTGTTAGGTACAACAGTGTATTGTGGTTATGAGGAGAATGTTCTCATTTTTAGCACACATGTTCCTGATGTTCACATGTTCCTCGTGGTCAGCCACATGGCTGAAGTGTCATGATGTGTACCACTTAATTTGAAATGGTTCAGCTAAAAAAAATGTCTATACATGTATTTATACAGACACATATGTATATGTGTGTGTATATTTGAAACAATCATAGCAACGTATTAGCAATTTTTTCTAAGTTGTGGGTTTGTGAGTATTTGTTTTACTATTTTTTTTCCAACTTTCTTGAGTTTTTCCAAAACTTTTACCAATAAAAAGGGGAAAAACACAGCGTAGGTATGCTTTGAAATAGCACTAATCTTCCATTTTGTTCATTCATTTGAAGGTCAACCCTAAGGATCTGGATTCCAAGTATGCGTATATCCAGGTGACTCATGTGATCCCATTCTTTGATGAAAAAGAGTTGCAAGAAAGGAAAACAGAGTTTGAAAGATCTCATAACATTCGCCGCTTCATGTTTGAGATGCCCTTCACTCAGACTGGGAAAAGGCAGGGTGGGGTCGAGGAGCAGTGCAAACGGCGCACCATATTGACAGGTACGGTTTCTCGGTACCTGTCTTTGAGAATCCCATCCAGACACGTGCCTGGACACCACGATAAAGAGCTTTCCAAAGGGATCCAGAAGCTTAGTTAACTTTCCCCACTTATCCATTTCAGTTTAATGTTTATCTAATGCTTACTTTTGAATACTCATGACATTTTTCTTTTTATCTGTTTGCATTTTTTTCTTCCACCAGATCAGAAGTTCATTTCCAATGTAAGGTCCCTTACCGTTTTTATAATCTGATGAAAACAGTGGGCCCTTATCTCAGAATGCTTTTGCACATAATTTCAGGTGATTTACAGTCTCTTCTAAAACCCACGTGGACCCCTCTCTAGGCCCGTGGCCCCCAGGTCAAAAGCCCCTGCACCCGAGTCCTGTGCGTACTTCACGGGAAGAGACCCCTTATGTATCTGTCGCAGAGGTCCCAGCACAGACCTGCTCGGAGATTTTAGGCGGAGTGAATAAATGGGACATGAGGCTGGATCCCTCCCACCTCATTGCTGAGAATGGTTAGCCAGCCTCAGCCTGAATACCTCCAGTACCAGGAAGCTCAGTGCATTCAGAGGCCACCCAGACAGCTGTTGAAGTTTTAATTGATCCTTTGGCACTGTTTAGCCATCGATAACTCGTTCTCAGAAATGTATTTTGCATCATTTCCCAGTTCCCGACAAGTACAGTCGTCTTGGGAGTGATTTTTATCTTCTTTGGGGGAGCTTGACCCATCCACTCTTAGGGTCAGCAACATGGCTGGGGTAACCTAAAATAAAACACTTTCTTGACTTTAAAAAAACCGGTGGAGAGGCCTGTTCAGAATGCCAGGTGTGTCTGTATCCACTGCATAGGCAAGTTTTTCAAAGAGGGGCCATAGTTAAGTCAAGCCAGGAAAGCACCTCCTGCTGGACTAGAAGTCCATGTTGTCAAGTGTTCCATCTGGGCGCTAAGATGGAGCATCAGAGTAACGAATGAAAGGAACACTGCTAAGATGCTGCATTTCAAGTGAGGCTCCGCTCTCACCGTTGAATCGTGCACTTTAAATGGATGAATCGTGTGGTATGTGATTGCTATCTCAGTAAAGCTGTTACCAAAGAAAGAATATGGCTCATTATAAAATAGCTCAGAACAGCATTTTGCAGAGGAATTCTTTACCCTTCCTATGAGGGAACTGAGATAAAAGTTAAAATGTTTTAAAAACCTGCATTCTTAAAGAAAGAGTCCCTGCTCCTGCTTTTAGAATAATAAGATAACATGTTAAGCACAAACAATACTGTCCCTCCCCCATATGTAAATGAATTGTTTTTCTAATGGACACAGTAACAAATTCTTCTTGTTAATAAGCAAGACAACTACATTTCTAAGTGGAGTCATTTTGGGAGAATTATCAGCTTACAATGTTTGTCTCTGTAGCTGTGATAACTTTGATTCCTTAAATCAGAGCTTATCAAAGGCTGTTCCTGGACCAGCAGCATCAGCATCACCTGAGAACCTGTTAGAAATGCAGATTCTCGGGCCGCACCCAGACCTGCTGAATCAGACACTCTGAGGGTGAGGCCAGGCTAGTTGTGTTTAACCAAGCCCTCCAGGTGTCTGATGCCGCTCAAGTTTAAGAACTGTTGCTTTAAATAAACCTAGTTCACTGATGAGTCAGGGCCGGGGGTTTTTATTACGATTGTTTTGCTCTGGTAGCACACTGATTCATACAGTTACCAGAGGGTGTTTTCCCTGGCAAGATTTCCTTCAAGGTTATAGTTTACCATTTTTTTCATAGAAATACTATAGATTAGATAAAGGATGTAAGCAAAGCTCTGAACCTGCCAGAACAGAGAGGACAAAGAGTAACTCCCCTTCAGAGAGAGGCAAAGGAGACACGTGTGGTTGACTCAGGAAGTAACCACCTTGCACAGCTGTGGGCAGTGCAGAGCCTGGGCCTGGGGTCCTGCAGACCTGGGTCTCATCCTCACTGTGTGACTTTGGGCAGGTCACTTAACCTCTCTGTGCCTTAGTTTCCTCATCTGTAAAATGAGTTATACTATCCATCTTGTGGTAAAAGAATTTTGTGAATTTTACCCAGGAAGGGAAAGAAAGTACCTCATTTTGCTAGATCTCACCCACCATCAGGCTCCTTGCCTTTTCTGGTTGATGAAGAGCAAGAGGGGACTATAGTGCAACAAAACATGCAAAAATGGCTGCCATTACTGCCCTAAAAGATCTCAAAATATCAAACGGATGGTTACTGAGCAGCATAAAGATTTAGAAAAGAGTTAGAAAAATGCTACTAAAGACATGTAAACTTTGTGTCAACGTTTAGTTAAAGACACACAGACCAGGATTGTTCTGAAGACTTTGAGCTTGAGAGTTTTCCCTTCTGTTCTTACTCTTTTAGGTTCTTCTCCCATTGCTTTGCTTCAGGCCTGAGCTTTGGTCTTCCAAGTTGTAGGGACGCCCCGGCCCTCCCTGCCCTCTGAACCTGGCAAAGGCTCACTTTCCTGGATAGTTCGGTCGGTTAGCTGCAATTGTGATCATTTGAAAAACCTAATGATCACTCTCCAGGCCCCTTCGGTGTACACTCCTGAGCCTGCCTCCCAACATGATCCCCTCCTTTTCTTCCTTCATGGAACTCCTGCCATGGAGCTTCTTCCCAATCACCATTCCAGAGTCTTCCAAATCACGCCCAGACTCGGACTCAGGTTGGAAATATTCTCCTGCCCTTCGCCTTATGTTCAGTCTAACCAGACCGTCCAGTCACCCACACTTCTCAGCTGTCTCTTCCTCACTCTCCTTCCTAAAGGGCTGCAGATCATGAATGTGGGCCATTTATTAGTAACGTGATGGCTCGCTCAGTCCGTCACCTAATTTTCCAACTTCCAGACCAGTTTGCTCTTTCATTTAGTCTTTTGGGTGGTAATACATTCATTAATTCAGCAAAATATATTGAACACAGGTAGTGTTCCAACTTGGCATACTGACAAAACCAAGCTCTGGCTTGAGCAGCTTAGATCCTAGTGGGAGGAGATAGATGATAAACTGTAAACATAGTGGGTAAATACACCTGTGTTGGAAGGAATACATATTGTGGACAAGAGCAAAATGAGATTGGAAATGAGAAGTTAAGAAAGGAGGGAAATGAGAGGTGCTGTTTAAATAGGGTGGCTGGGGTAGACCTCACTGAGGAGATGATGTTTGGGTCCAGACTTGAAGGAGATGAGGGGGAGGGTCTTGCAAATGTCTGGTGGGAGAAGGAGCTGTTGGGGCAAAGGCTGGCACTGGGGATGTCTGTGTCCATGCATTCAGGGGACCAGGGGATGACCAGCAGGCTGGTGTGACTGGAGCCCAGTGAGCCTGAGGCAGAGGAGAAGAGGTGGGTCCAGCAAGGAAGGCAGGAGGCCAGCTGGTGGGGGAGTCCCAGATCACATGGACCTGGTAGGCTCAGGGACAGATTCTGAGTTTCTGTATCATTATACCCCTTCTTTGCCGCTTTAAGTCTCCAGTTACCATCACAAGAAGCAGTGACTCAGGACTTTTGCAGTGAATGAAATCACTATGGACACCTCACAAACATCGTTGGAGATGGTTTTTCTCCCTGAAATGATGGTGCTACTGCACCATGGCACACAAACACTGTGACTAGTCGTATGTGTTTTGACATGACTGTTAGCCTCATGAAACATTTCCACAGGTACTTCCTTCTTAGAAATGGGAATGTTATAGCACTCCTCTATAAAGCACATCAGTCTATCACATCCTGGTACACCTCTGGTTGGAGAACCACTTCCCTGTCTCCTTGGCTGGTAAGCAGCAATGCCTAGCTCTTGTCACACTATCAAAGGAGCTTTCAGTTCAAAGAGGATTTATCCATCCCAGTGCTGTCACTTAAAAACTGTGTGTCTGCAAGGAACGCAAAAGAAATAGGAGGCCCAGACCCTTGGCTTTAGATTGATAAAACACGTAGAAACTAGAACAGGCGTGTGAGTGTGTGATAAATGAGGTTGCATAGAGTTGAACACCTTCTCCTGCTTTGTCCAGACTTTGGGGGGCCCATCGGAACTCTGTGATCTATGGGGAGCTGGCCATGTTTTCTCATTTTTGCTAAGTCCTTTCTGAGTAAACCCTCCCCAGCCCCTTACTAAATAGTAACAAATCCAAACACAACACTCCCATCTTATTTTTGCTTGTTAAAAAATAGAATAAGCTTTTAGGTATCTATCTATATGTCTATTAGTAAAAATATGTTAAATGAGAATATTATAGATATTTATATAACATAAAGCATGGAAATATGAAACAGACTCAAATTAAAATTCATCTGTTCATTTTTAAACTTAACTCTTTGGTGTTGGTATGTTCAGGTATCAAATTATGCTAGATGAAAATAACATTGATTTTTTTGGATAAAAAACTATCTAAGGGGGCCAGCCCCATGGCCAAGTGGTTAAGTTCACGTGCTCCGCTACAGTGGCCCGGGGTTTTGCCAGTTTGCATCCTGGACATGGACATAGCACCGCTCATCAGGCCACGCTGCCGCAGCATCCCACATGCCACAACTAGAAGGACCCACAACTAAAATATACAACTATGTACTGGAGGGATTTGGGGAGAAGAAAAAAACGATTGGCCTCAGTTGTTAGCTCAGGTGCCAATCTTTAAAAAAAAAAAAACTAAGAAAAAGCAAATGTTTTTACTTACATTGTTTACTCATTTAAGTTTCAAAATATCTTCTTATTAGTATTACTCCAACAGTTTGTGATTATGTGGTTCATAAAATACTTTGCTTGGAAATATATTTTTACTTGTTATTTTTCATTGGTTTCTCTGATTTCTACAGACATAAGCATGTGATTCAGAGTTGTTCCTTGGAGAAAAATGAATTGTCTCAAGCATATTTTTATGAACTATTTTCTGACTTAATCTGTATGTGATATCTCAAAACTGTTTAGTCTTTTTTATATTTTCAAAGCCATCTTATACCTACTTTTAAGCTCATTCAGATCTCACAACTTCAAGGAAGGCAGGGCATTCATGGATGAGAATACTGAGCAGGGAGTGATAAAGTGATTTCTTCAAAGACACACTTCTCACATTAAAGCTTAACAAGGACCTAACTCTCCTGACTTTGTATGATACAACCTGTCATTAAACATAAACAATGATAAAGGAAGAAAATAGTCTGTTTCCACAAAATACTGGCATATGACTTTGGCAGACTTTGGGTTTCTTATCTGTAAAACGGGAATAATAATTACTTCTACCTCAATAATAGTAAAGATCATGCAAGCTATGGAATAATTCTGGCACTTGCTCCTCTGCAGCAATACACTGCTTCCCATATGTAAAGAAGCGGATCCCTGTCATGTACCAACACCACACCGACCTGAACCCCATTGAAGTGGCCATTGATGAGATGAGCAAGAAAGTGGCTGAGCTCCGGCAGCTGTGCTCTTCGGCCGAAGTGGACATGATCAAACTGCAGCTCAAACTCCAGGGCAGCGTGAGCGTTCAGGTGAGCCAAACCACGGAGCCACAGGGGAAAGGCTCCTTCGGACCTCGATAAACTTCAAGTCATTCACACCACCAGGGTCTAGTGTAGATCCCTGGCTTACCAGGCGATCCGCGTTACCTCCCCGCAGTGTCTGTGTGCAGTTTCTCCTGACATCAGAGCGGGCAGTAGCCTTAGAGCTCCCACCCCACCCCATCCCACCTACCAGAGCTGTCCTTCTTGCTAAGCCAACAGCTAGGGCAGAGACAGCTCTCCATACTAACCTGTTTTTTGGTAATTTGGGGAATTCTAGGTGCCTAATTGGAAGCTTCAAGACTCTTCTAAACATAAAGAAATGGGGGTAGATACAGATTTTTTAAATAAAACTATTGTTTCTGGTTTCTATGAAAATTGTATCTGAAAAAATACCGTAAGTTTCACTCTCTTAAGGGTGTCTTTTGATTAACAGAAATTCTTCATTTTAATATAGCCCAATGAATCAATTTTTCCTCTACTCATAGCATTTTTGGTGTCCTCTTTAAGAAATCTTTCTTAAATCTGTTTCAAAGATGCTCTCCTATGTTCTCCTCCTTTGTTCAGCATTCCTTCCAATGTAGATCTGCAATCCGTCTGGAAGTGATTTTGTATGTGGTAGCAGATAGGGATCAAAATATATCTTTTTTTCCATATAGCTATGAAGTGTGCACCATTTATGGAAAAGATCATTCTTGATCTAGGTACTGATTATACAGATATGTTCAGTTTGTGAAAATTCATCAAGCTCTACACTTACATGTTCATTTCTGTTTGTATATTACACTTCAATAGTACGTTTTTTAAAAGGTTTCTTACTTACATGGTTTCCTGGGAAACTGGTAAATGTTAAATAACCTCCCTCTGGTGACTAGTATGCCTCTTGCTTTATTGACATTTCTAAGTGTATATGAATAACTCTAGCACTTGTTTTACATGTGTGTGTGTATATATATATGTACACAGACGTGTGTGTGTGTGTGTGTGTGTGTATCGCCCTATCTCCAATTCTTTTCTCTTTCAAGAAGGGTGTGTTTATGAAAGTTACATGTAGATTGTAGTATATAGATTTTGGGATTTTCTTGGTTCATTTTGTGAAATCAGTTTTTGTCAACTTTTTATCAGGAGTTGTTGCCTAACATTTTTCTAAATGTCATTCACCATGAAAGTATTTGCAGATATTTTTAACATCTTCCCTTATGGCCCAAAAGACTTAGGTGCTAAAATAAGTTATCAAGTGAATATGATAAATATTCCAGTAATGTAAGTGGTTACATAACAGGGCCAGAGGCCACAGTTTTCTGCAGTTAAAAACAAAACCACTCAATAACATGGCCTGGAACATCATGCCTCTATCAAAAGGCCAGCGGAGGAGTGTGGATACCAGTAAAGGGTGGGGCTAGACAGGTTGAGCTTTCTAAAGGGCAAAATGTGCCCTGCCATTTGGTGGTGACCTTAGAGTTTTATAAATGCTCAGTCATCTTGGAAAGCAAAGAATCCCATGGTGAAATGAGGATATTAAGTTTATATGTGTTTGCCCACCAAGATAACAACAAAGTTGGAGCCAGGGGAAATTGATTTTATCATTTTATTTGTCTGTTTCTGTAGTTCTTTGACCAAGAGCCTCACTGGGGTTGCTGTTGTACAGGACAGAGCCATCAGGGTGCCTTCATGGCGCTGCACTCCAAGGTCTTGTTATCTTAGACCTTACAAAGTCTCATCAGCTCTCCTCTTTGCATCTTCTTAAAATTGAATATATTGTATCATTTTGGATAATTGGTCATTTGGGTCATCTTCAGGTTGTTAACATAGTTCCCCACACATATCCAGTGTGATGACATATTCAGTCATCACACAAGATTAGCTAGTTGTTCCTGTTAGGGCCCACCTCTAACCACAATGGCCGTCTGTCTCCCCACCTCTGGTGTGAATTCTCACAGCTCGGTTCTCCTGCCATTACTGTACAAGTCCTGCACACCATGGAGCCCTTCCCCTTCACCAACAGTGACAGACAAGACAGACAGCCTCCCTGCTTACTTACCTTCCAAGCCCACCAGACCTCCCAGGAAAAATTAGGCAGTATCACATGGTCAAGGCCTTTCCCAAGCTGTCTCAGATGCCTGGAACTTTCTCCTCCCCATCCAGTGTGTCTAACCTTCTTTCTCTCCACATTCTCACATTTCCTAACTTACCCAACTTCAGAGAACTCTTCGTGGCTAATTGAAAGAGAGATGCAGGGTGCTGGTTCACTTGACACGTTGCTGAATGTCCCTAATCTTTGGCCTTCTAGCACACCTCACACTGTTGCTTCATTCGAGGACAGCAAACCAGTGTGGCCGTAGCTGCCTATACAGTTCCATGAGGTGAACAGTTGATTTTTAAAAACTGGTGTATTTCCCGTATCTTTCAGTTTTTCACTGAACTCACTAGATTGACCTCTTAGTCAGTATGGTGGAGCACAAATACCAGTTGGAAGACTTGGGCTCCGATCTCAGGCATTTTGCTTACTGGCTGTTCAACTTTGAACAGGTCCTTAAATTTTCCAAGCATTGGTTCTTCCTACATAAAAGGAACCATCAACACAAGTGCCCTGAGAATGGCTGAGATGATAAAATCAAATGACATATAACAATATAAGCCTATTTCACACTTTCCTTTTTTGAGTTATAAGTTCCTGGAGGGCAGGGGTCATGACCAGCTCACTCAAACAGCATTTTTAGTACGTTCCAACTGAAACTAAATCAATGATAGTGGTAATTTTCTTCATAACATGATTTAAAATCTTTGTTCTTTATCTAGGTCAACGCTGGTCCACTAGCGTATGCCCGAGCTTTCTTAGATGACACAAACACAAAAAGGTATCCTGACAATAAAGTGAAGTTGCTTAAAGAAGTTTTCAGGTAAACCACACTGGAAACGTCCTTTTCTCTTCAAGGATTCATCATTTCTGTGCTCATTCAGTAGATACCACCAGTTGGACTTATTCATTGTCCTCTACATGCCTTTTTTTTTTTCATTCCCGCACCATTTCAGGCAATTTGTGGAAGCTTGTGGTCAAGCCTTAGCAGTAAATGAACGGCTGATTAAAGAGGACCAGTTAGAGTATCAGGAAGAAATGAAGGCCAACTACAGGGAAATGGCAAAGGAGCTTTCTGAAATCATGCATGAGCAGGTAAGTGCCAGCCTGGAGTTCTTCTCATTTTTAGGGAGCATGCATCAGTTTGGGTCTCAAGTACACCGTATGGTGGCCTAAACCTTCCAACATCCTTCCAGAATTTAGGTATCTGAAGAATAATGTACATTGCTGCTACTATCTAACCACAGGTTACTTGGGGAACAGCTAACAAATTGCCCACCAGTTAGTATCTAACGTGACCAGAGGAGAGCAGCACCCACCTCTCTTCATTGCTCTTAGAGGTGGCTGCAGTTTATAAGCTTTGACCTTCCCCACCAATCTAGCTCAAAAAAATAAAACTCACATTAAAAGAAATACCCATACTCTTCCTAGAATTTCCTTTGTTCATCCAATCCTTTGAAAGAACAGGATTTACTAGCCTGATTTAAGGACTTAGCTGTTGCATTAAATAACTTTGCCCCCTGGAGGAGAAGACAAGCATTTCACCGAATTCCTTTCACATCTTCAGTGCCATCAGTGGGACTCCAAACAGCACATTTAAAAAAAATAGGCTTGTTCCATTTTTGACTATTACAGCTAACCCATGGGTGCCCCAGTGGATTCTTCATGGCTGCTTCTATATTCCTTGTCATTACGGGCATCTTTCCTGATTACAAGGCTACTATCGCCTTCCTGTATGAATTCCTTTCAGTAGGATTACTGATGTGGGCTCAGTAGTCATCAGAAGGGACAGCTGCCCCGGGAACCAAGTGAATGTCAAAAAGCAGCTGCCACATTGTTGCTTTTTGAGGGGTCCATTCTCCATCAACCAGGGTGACTTCTTCCCGGTCGCAGTACCAGTCTTTATAATTAGTGTTGGCACCTTAAGAACACTTAACTATTTTTGTCTGTTCCCCTACATTATTGTCTTTCAGTCCTGCAAAATGGAAGCTAGGACCATTTGTGCCAGTTAGTATATAACATGATGATTTACTTAGGAAATGTCTGTTGCAGGAAACTAGCTTAAATGTCTAAGATTTAACTTGCTTGCTTTTTTTGTCCTCCATGCTAACACATTCAGATGGGATGGTAATGTCATTTTCTAATTTTGTTTTTCTGAACCTTGATAAACTGAGTCACATGAAGTTATTACTGAATTTGGACAACTGCAGACATTGGCATCATGATAATGCATGTTCAAAAGAAGGCAGCCCTCTTCTGGGCATTTAGAAAAGTAGGGAAAAAATTGAAATGATTAAAGAAATAAATATGTGAGTAATTAAGCAGAAAGGAAGGGTCTCCTGGGAACAAGTTTTTAGAGAAAACTCAAGTTCTTTTTCTTGAGGTCTCCAGATTCCTGTAGGACGGAAAGCTTGATCAGTGAGTGCCAGCATTTGGCACTAGAAAAGATGAAAGTAGGAAAAAATTATGGGCTGAAAATTGTAAAGTAAACTCCCAAATTATGTGGACATTTAATGCAGTGCTGTGCTGTAAACTGCACCTTGAACTTTTCATTATCTCAACAACTATGAAGATTAAACTCCTTTGAACCCTTAAGCAGAAAGGGTCGTGGCTGGAATAGACCTGATTTTGCTTTGTCCAGGGGAGCCTCTGAGTGTATGTTGTTCTCAGTTTCGGCCTGGCAATAGGTCAAGTCTTGTGCTTAGAATTCTTCCCTGCATTACCTAGTATGAAAAGAGATTTTTTTCAGGTCAGAGGGGCAGCCACTATCTCTTTCCCAGGATGGAAATCTGTAAGACCCTGAGAAAAGGAGCCAGGAGAGAAACACTGGTGCTCCAGATTCATTTTAAAAGATGTTTCCAAAGGACAAGGCTAGGTCATGTCCCCATCAAGTATGTGTAAGATAGACTTCAAGCCACCTTATAATCTGATGAGTCTAGAAGGCTCTTCATTCACTAGCTTGTGAAGGAAACAAAACATATTGTTCTTGACTTTTCTCCTTTTAATCCTGATCTGAAAAAGGTCATTTCCTAGGTGAGCTGACCCAATCCCTCTGCAAACTGCCAAAGCCAAGCTATCTGAGCGCACCGTCATTCACGGTCTCGGTGACCACTGGGTGATAAATTGTGTGTGACATGAAATGCACCATTTTGAGAAATGTTGTTCAGGGCATTACACTTGGGTAATGTTGTGTTTCTGTGCCTCGAGATTTGCCCCCTGGAGGAGAAGACGAGCGTTTTACCGAATTCTCTTCACATCTTCAATGCCATCAGTGGGACTCCAACAAGCACAATGGTTCATGGGATGACCAGCTCGTCCTCAGTTGTGTGATTTCACCTCATGGACCACCTGTGGGGACTTGCTTTGTCATTTACAAACTCAGGATGATTTCCAAAAGTAATCACTGGGCCCGTGCAAGACACGGGGAAGACCGAGCACAAGAAGTCAAGGGGAATGGGAGAGAAAGGAAATAAAGAACTGTGTTATTTCTTAGCACATTTTCTAGAGGAGTCATAAGAGGGTGCACGTATTTTTTTAAATCTCGCTGGCAATATTCAAACTTTTCATTGTGTCTTAACAGAGGTGTGTGGTGGACACTCTTAAGCTGGAGTTAAATTTTATTCTTCCTTACAGAGTAGTATTAAACGGCCTAGAGAAAACAAGTGTTCTAGAATGTACATAGCAGGGACAGTAGCACTGAAATTGAGGCTGGGGTAACCTTTTGCCTCTAGGCTAAGCTGGAAAATCTTGAAAATATTTTTTTTTTCCTGTGGCACATTCAGGTTGAATACAAGAATTATTTTTGTGACTAGTTTTTGATGACCCAAGGGAACTGACCATTGTAATTTTTGTACCAGTGAACCAGAAGGTTTAGTGCTTTTATACTCATTTACTTGCATTTAAAAAATATGAAAGCTTAAGAAACTATGTGAGCCTAAAACTAGTCAAGCAGTTTAGAACCAAAGGCCTGTATTAATAAACACAACTATGCTCAAAATTTAAAAATAGTACAGTATATTGTTATGTACATAGAGTTTGTTAATACAGTCTCAGCATCCTGTATATACGTGTATTACATTTCTACATTTTTAATACTCACATCAGCTTCTGCATAAGTTTAATTGTGACAAATTTGTGCTGTACTTAGTATATGCAATACACTTCACTGTTTTATTCTTGTACATAAAAAAGTGCAATATTGAGATGTATACAGTCTTTGCTATGTTAGGTTTATAAACTGTTTTAAAAATTTCATCCTTTTGCCAAAGTGGTGGAGTATGTAATTGGTAAATCATAAATCCTGTGGTGAATAGTGGTGTAATTTAAAGCTTTCACCATGTTATATTTTCTTTTGAGACATTAATTTAGTAATTTTATATTTGGAAAAATAAAAGTTTTTAATTTTATTTAACTAGAATCTCTGCCCTGCTGTAATTAAACATTCTGTACCACATCTGTATTAAAAATAACATTGCTGATTTTCCAGTAGTGAATACTGGGTATTTATTGTTTGACAGTCCTATGAGGGGCAGGATATTGAAATACTTGGGGGTGAGATAACGTGGTGTATGAAATTTGCTTTAAAATACTTGAGGGGAAAAAAAGAGAGAGTTGGTCGATTAAACAAGTTTGACAGAAGCTCCGGTTGGGTACATGAGGAATCTAAGTTTCCATGAGACAGATTTCACGACAGGTCTAGAAGCCAGATCTTCCAGAGGACTTGGATAAATGCTTTGTTGCACTGTGGTCTGGCTCTGAATTCTACTGCAGTCATGCGCCACATAACAACAACATTTCAGTCAGCGATAGATTGCATATATGACAGTGGTCCATGAGATTACAATGGAGCTGAAAAATTCCTATTGCCTAGTGTATCTGGAAGAAGACACCCAAAAGGTTCGTCCATGACTCCAAAGGATTTGCCAACGATGGAGAGATTGCAAAAATCAGCAAGGCTGTGGTTGAGATGGCAAACAGCTTTAACCTGGGTGTGGGTGTGGATGAGGACGACATTGAGGAGTTCCTAGAAGTGGTTCTTGAGGAATTGACTAATGAGGAGTTGTTGGAACTGGAACAAAAACGCATAGCTGAGGAAGAGGCAAGAGAATAAGAAACTATAGGAGAAGAAAAAGAACCCCCAAGAAATTCACAGCAAAGGGTTTAGCAGAAGTTTTTGCAGACCTCCATGAGTTCCTTAAAAAGTTTGAAAACACGGACACCCTGAACACCGAAAGTTTTCATTAACAGCAAGGAATGTTCATGATGCATTATCTGTTTACAAGCAAATCTAGGATGAAAAAAAGAAACCAAGCAAACCACAAGGGACATATTTCTGAAAAGAGTGACATCTCCCTAAGAGCCTCAGGCAGGTCCTTCAGGTGGTGTTCCAGAAGAAGGCACTGTTATCATAGGAGATGACAGCTCCACGCATGTTACTGCCCCTGAAGACCTTCCAGTGGGACACGATGTGGAGGTGGAACACAGTGATACTGATGATCCTGACCCTGTGTAGGCCTAGGCTAATGTGTGTTTGTGTCTTAGTTTTTAATAAAAAAGCTCAAAAAGTAAAAGACAAATAAAAAATTTCAAAACTAGAAAAAAATGTATAAAATAACTATATAAAGAAAGAAAATATTTTTGTACAGGTGTCCAACGTGTTTGTGTTTTAAGTTGTGTTATTACAAAAGAGTCAAAGCTGGGGCCAGCCTGGTGGCGCAGCTGTTAAGTTCACATGCTCCCGTTCGGCAGCTCAGGGTTTGCCGGTTCAGATCCCAGGTACAGACCTACTCACCACTTGTCAAGCCATGCTGTGGCAGGCAGCCTACATATAAAGTAGAGGAAGATGGGCACGGATGTTAGCTCAGGGCCAATCTTCCTCAGCAAAGAGGAAGATTGACAGCAGATGTTAGCTCAGAGCTAATCTTCCTCAAGGAAAAATGAAGTCAAAGTTTTAAAAAATTAAAAAGTTAATAAAGTAAAAAAGTTACAGTAAGCTAAGGTTAATTTATTATTGAAGAGAGAAAAGTATTTTTGTAAGTTTAGTGTAGCCTAAGTGTACAGTGTTTATAAAGTCTACAGTAGTGTACAATAATGTATCCACAGTAAGGCAGTATTTTACAGATGGAGACAAGGTCATGAAGAAGAGATGGTGAAGCATCATGGTGGCTCACCAGAGTCTACAGCCCATTTGTTAGTCTATCCAGACTTAGGGCTTGAGAAAATTCTCTGTATAGGTTTGCCCTGAATCTCTCACATCCTCAGCCCAGTGTGATAAACCTTGACTCTAACATCAGCAGGGGTGGGTATAAGAGTTTGTCTCCTGTGTCACTGAGCTGTATTTCCTATTCATAAATCCCTCACTTAGAAGCCATAAAATTCAAGTTACCATGTAGTAAGATAAATATGTCTAGAAAAAGCTAACTTGCTATCAAATCATTAAACTTGGAGAGTACTTTGTACGGATGCCATGTCAGATAAGATTAAGCTTGGAAAGTGACCAAACCTCATTTATTACAACAGTGGAGAAAGGAGCCATCTCTAAGCTGAGGACATCTACTATTGACCCTGCAATGAAACATATTCATATCAATTAAAATCCTCATTTAGTATGTGTATAAAAGTTTAATTTCTGGGGCCTACCTGGTGGCATAGGGGTTAAGTTTGTGTGCTCCACTTCAGCAGCCCAGGGTTCATGATTTCTGATCCTGGGCACAGACCTACAAACCGTTTATCAAGCCATGCTGTGGTGGCGCCCCACGTACAAAATAGAGGAAGACTGGCACAGAGGTTAGCTCAGCAACAATCTTCCTCACATACACAAAAAAGTTTAATTTCTGTATAAAGTTACACATTAAAATAGTTTATTGGAGAAAATTATTTTCTAACAGAAAATCTTGATTGCTATTTTTCAGTAAATGTTTTTAAGTGTTTCCCATAGATTTTACTTACTCTTTTTTTTTATTGAGGTAAAATATACCCAACATTTCCCATTTCACCCATCTTTAAGTGTACAGTTCGGTGGGATTAAGCACATTCTCATTGTTGTGCAGCCGTCACCACCATCCATCCCTGGAACTTTTTCATGATCCCAACAGAAACTGTTCCCATTAAACAGTGACTCTCTGTTTCCCCTTTGGGAAAATTGTTTTTGAAGTAACTTTGAAACTGAATGTCTATTTAGTACCTTATCAGGGATATCTGCTACCTGGAACTAGCTCACTCTAGGCAGTATACGTACATAGAGCCAGTCCCTGCATGGAGAAAGCTGCTGAGAGTGGGGATGCAAGACTGACAAGTGACTTATGAAGGAGGAGGAATAACCACAGGGACTTGCTTAACCGTGTGACAGAGTCATTCAGTGTAGACACTCCATTCAGAAAAACGTTTGATTTCCACCAACAAGGGACCATCTGTGTAAACTGTGGACATCCACACAGTGGAGTCTATGTAGCTAAAAAAAGGAATATGAATATCTCTGTGTACTGCTATGGAGTGATCTTCAAGATGCAGTGAGTAAAAACACAAGATGGAGAAAAGTGTGAGTAGTATGCTACCAATTATTTAAGAAAGGAGATACATATAAATATGCAGAGATATTTGCTTTATTTTAGATGGAAGGGTAAATCAAAAAAAATGTAAGTTGTTACCTATAGAAGGAGAGAGGGAATAATATATAGGGGACAGGGTTAGAAGATAAATTTGTCCAAATATAATTTGCTTTATAGATTTGGCTTTAGAACCATAAGAATATTTACATAGTTAGTAAAATAGATTTTTTAATTCCTAAAAATTGAAAGCAAAATGAAGTAAATGAACATAACTATATATCAAGTTGGTGACATAAAACAAAGAAAGGAACTATTTCAATTGACTTTAAAATACAGGAATTTAACTGTGCATCCCCAGTAGCATATACCCTAAGGAAAAAAAGAGTGGCAACAAGTAAATAAGTGATTGATAAACAAAAACCATTTTCAGTAATTGTTTTGTTTGTGGAAGTATTATATTGTTTTTGTGAGATTGTATTGTTATTCTGAGATTGGTGTATGTTTATTACTGGAGAAAGTAAATGAGTAATTATGTTTATATTATGGGGAACCAAGTTTTTGGCATGGGAGATAGAAAGTTGCCTCTATAAGACCAAAGAGGTTAAATTAAAACCTTTAGTTCTAAATTTGATGCAGAAACACCAATTTGAACTCATGATGTATTTATCTTAAACACACTCACTTATTTCCTAGCTTGTTTCACTGAAAGGGCCTAAAAACAATGACCAAGCCAGTATCTAGCAAGCACCCCTAGTGCCCAAATTGTGGTTTCTAGATACCTTTCCTTCCAAAAGGATCAAGGGCTCCTTGGAGAAGGGCTGATTCCAGATTTAGGGCAAAAAATGTCTAAGATAGCCTGGAGCATCTTTTCATACCAGACATCCAGGGGACCAGCAAAGACACCTGGGGCCCTGTCAGAAGAACTTAAAGAAGCTCTTTCTAGCTAGACATGGGATGAACATCTGCAAGATCAAAAATAGTAATGGATTGAAATTATAAAATTAAATTATTGAGTTTATGTTGCTACTAGAAAAATAAAAGAAAAAGAAAACTGGTAACTATTAAAGGAGTTAATATTACCAACAAAGACAAGAGATGTTATGCCTCATGATAGAGGTGCATACCACCCCCTATGACGTAGTCTGCTAAAAACTCTAACCTGAATCTGATCAAGCCTTCAGATCTAACTACCAATCCCCCAGGGAAATACAGGGCACAGAGGAACATGTTAAATGACACTTTGGGGAACGCAATCAGCAAAATCCAATTCTGTGGCAAGCTCTGTAGGACAAACAACATGGTTTCTTCAATAAATAAATTTTAAGAAAAAAGAGATGGAGAGGACACCTATATATTGAGATATTCAGGGTTCTCTTGATAGGATATAGCTACTACATAGATATACTTTTCCCTGTCCCTTGCCCTAAATACAGCAAAAAAACCTGGACGTTATATGTTAAAGGAAACATAAGACGACTCTGAAAGGTAGAGTGAAGAAAGCAGACCAGCTGGGGACCTTGGGACCAAAAAAAATGACAGTGATGAGTTCCCCAGTTTTCTTTTTGACTCATATATCCCATGCTTGGAGTCAAAGAAAGCCAGCAACACAGAAACACTGGCAGGACAGAGGAAAAAAATGACCAACACCTCTTCACACCAATTATGATGGCTATTATCCCCAAAAGAAGTATTCATGAGGATGTGAAGAAATTGGAACCCTTGTGCATTGCTGGTGGCAATGTATACTGGCGCAGCTGCAGTGGGAAACAGTGTGGTAGTTCCATAAAAAATTAAACATAGAATTACCATACAATCCAGCAATTCCACTTTTGGGGATATACCCAAAAGAATTGAAGTAGGGACTTGAACAGATATTTGTACACCATGTTCATAGCAGCACTATTCACAATAGCCAAAAGGTGGAAGCAACCCAA